TAGTGCAAGGGTGACATGGAGGAGATGGTGTGAAGAGGAGCTGAAACAGTATGGACTAACATGAATGCAGGTGAAAAGTACAGCAGAAGGAAGACAGAAGTGGCAAGTGGAGACGTGCAGTTGAAGCCCTATGTTCCACTAAGAACCCAAGGGAACATTAATAATAATAACTTTGAACAGTATGCCTGAACACCCAAAGAAAACTGATGTCACAGGTTTGATCATGAGTTGACATCAGTTAGAGAACCAACTAACAAGGGATGCGTATCATTATTCTCCATCTAATTGACTTCGTGATCAATCTTGAAATAACTTAGACCTCCGAAAACCAACACTTGAAAATTAGTTTAGTGACTCACTACAGGATGAAGTTGCCTGAAGTCTTAGTGGGAGGTCGTAACCAGCAGGATCCACCCGGCTGGATATGCGGACAAATACTCGTAGATGAAATTGGCTGCCAGTCTTGCTATGTCACGAATTGTCAGAAGTCAGAATCGATGAGTCATTAGATTGCGTCCCGTTGACTGAATGGTTAATGAACTCACCTTGTAGCCTGATAATCCCTGGGTTCAACATCTGGTGGGGTCATGGATGCCTACTGATAAAGAGTCACTGAAATGAGCGAAGCAGTTGGTTTCCAGTGGTCCTATAACTGTAGTCAGTTCGTAGTCAATCTTGAAATCAATCAAATCGCCTCACAGCGGCACCCTTCGGCGACCCCACGGGGATACAGTTGAGGACCTTCGGGTCAGGAGGAGAGCTCAATGACTCTTTTTCTACTGAGATCAAACCTAATAGCCCACGAATTCTAACTTCTGTCAATTTGGAATATATAACGCCACCACCAGCCAATGTCACTGGCGAGCATAGAACTTGAAACTATCAAATCCTAGCAAAACAAACCTAGGAAATTGATCTAATACGCTCTAATTATTGACTGCAAAATGAGGAGTTGTGACCAGTGGGATCCATCAAATTGGGTGTGAGGACACGTACTCACCTATGATATTAGCCCTTCCTTTTTATTCCTTTGTGTCCTGAGTGAATCATGGGGCTTGAAGCTTCTGCTTCGAATTTTCCGTAGAAGTGGTGTTATTTTTACGGGATAGGGTAGTTAACGCCATGCCCAGCCTTTCCTCTTTACCGGGCCTACAACTGGTTATGGAGTGCCTTTGTTGGGGAGCGAACAATGGACCACGTGCGTCGTTGTCGAGCGTTCTACCATTGAACCATCGACGCACTTGTTTTGGCTCTATATATCGCTAATTGACAGAAGTTAGAGTTCGTAGGACATGGCGTTCCATTCGAGTAACTGAAAGGTTCTGGGTCCAGTTCCCTGTGGAGTGATGTTTGGTTGCTACTGAACAGTCCTACAGTGGAACCAAGTGTGTGTTCAGGACTCCTCGGTTTTCAGTTATTCTCTAATTGATGTCAGTTTGTGGTCGAAGTTGGAACCAAGCACATCTCTGCACATCAGCACTTAAATTATAAATCTCTTTAATAAGACTGTTTTGAAAAATTTATTGTCAAAGTTGTACTACCTCAATTATTTGCAACTTCCTTTTGGTCCCCACTTCATATCTATCTCTTAATTACTGTAATAAATAAAACCAGCTATCACAACTGAAAGGAACAGTGAATATGTAATACCGTAACCACAGAAGGTATGACACGGAAGCCAAGGTATATTTTCAAGCGATCGAACAGCTGCTTATATCTATACAATTTATATTCTTTAACCAATCACCGAGAGGCATGAATTATTCTGTTGCTAATACAGTATTGAACTGTAGGAAAAGTAGTCTATCTCTAATAGCAAATATTTATAGCATTCTTACGAGTTTGACGACAGACTGATATCACTTAGGGAACCATTGAAAACCAGGGAGTGCTGGACAGATGTTTCACCCTAGTTCGGGAATCACCGCCATGGTTCGAACCCATGACCTTCCGTTTACAAGGCAAGCTGGCATACCATTCAAACACTGGGACCTGATTCAATCGTCCATGAATTCTATTTCCTACCAATTCGTGATTTAGAGTGACTACCAACCACCAGTGGGTGAGTACTGCCGATGATTCCCAATCTAGGATGAAACAGATGGCTGTCCAGTACTCCCTGGTTTTCAATAGTTCTCTAACTGATATCAATCCGTGGTTACACTCTTAAAAACAAATCTAATCATTAGAAACCAACTCTTGAAAATATAGCATTCTGTTGCTAATGCAGTATTGAACTGTGGGAATATTATTCAGACGTTAACACCAACAAGTACAATGATTCTTACTGTGAGATTAATATTCCGTTGGAACACATTGTTTGTATCACACCACCGCACTACTACTACTACTACTACTACTACTACTACTACTACTACTACTACAGAAATACATTTATCAGCTGCTAATAATCGGTCTGAGTCAAACGGTCTTAAACTGAACCCTTCTAAATGTCAAACTGTTAATTTCAGCTTAAGATGTAAACGACAGTTAAAAGAAGTCATCGATTCTCATGACAGTTGTAAAATTGACGACAATGATATAGGAATCAAATCAGAAATTAAGTATCTTGGACTTATTCTCTCTTCTGATCTCTCCTGGACTTCCCATGTCTTAATGATCTCCAGTAAAATATTCCGCCTGACATTTTACATTAAGAAGTTAAGACACTCGGGTATTACTCAACCCCTCCTCTTACAGCTCACAAACTCTTGCATCCTACCTATTCTTCTCTATTGTTCACCCTTATTCTTTCCTGGTTTGCTTAAAAAAGACTATGTCACAATTCGTAGAATTCTGAAGACTGTCAGTAGGGTGAGTGGTGTCCCAGTGGATCACATAGTTAACGTCGTTGTCGATAGGCACTTGACTTAGTGCAATAAATTTGCTAGAGGGATTTTGTCTGACTTGCAGCATCCGCTTTACCCTCAGCTTTCACCTTGCATCTCCTCAGGTAGAACAAGAAGTAACTTCAGAAAACTGTATGCTCGCACGTCTAAGTAAAAAAATTCTATGATACCATACTTGTCACGTATTTTGTGTGATGAAAATAGTGTCAGGCAAGAATTAACTAACCTTTTTTCATCTAGTAAATAAACAATTTCCTCCATCCATCCTTATATACCTTCAAGTTTTACTTTTATTATTTCTATTATATTTATGGTCCTGTTGCTTCTTTGTTTGTTTTACTCTCATAATTGCAAACACCAAATTATCTCTATGACTGCTGTAATCTTTGTTTTTCCCCTCACCATATCATGTAAAGAGAAAATTATATTCAATATTTTTAAACATGCTAGGATTTCTATACCACATTGCCAATACTGTGTGAAACAAGCCTACGGTAATTTTCACTTGTATTATTATTATTACCCTAGCTGCTATCATTATTATTATTATTTCCACTTTATATGCTGAATGTTTTTGACACTACCTCTATTGTAAATGTGGAAAATTTTCTGTGTGATTAATTTTTATTTATAATTTGAGGCAATTAGATGCAATATTGTGATTAATGCTGAAAATTCCATTCTGTATCACAAGTACTGTTTTTGGAATAAAATAAATCATTATTATTAATATATTAGAAAAAAGCTGATTTCCTTTCAGACAGCAGCATTTAGTTACGCCAGTGGTTCATCGGTAGAATGGTCGCCAACTACGCACGTGATCTGGAGTTTAATTCTGGGCCAACCTATCCTTAAGCATTGCCAAGTACACTAGTCAATCATAACCCCGAATGAGAGGGAACGTTGGGCTTGAGGCTAACAATCCCATTCAGTGAAAGGAACATCATACCTGCTGGAACTTCAAGACCTCAGGCCTAGATCCCTATGTTCTACTAGGAATGCAAAGGCAGAAAATACCGCTTTTAGAAATTTACTAAATTCTAAGTGATAATTTCTTATTTCATTTCAGTAGATCTGTTTTGTTTCACTTGAACTCTACCTGAATATTTGTTTGTCAGGATGAACTGTGAGCTTACCTTTGGTTGATGTCTGTTCTCTTTCATCAGACTGTATTGATTATAAACTTACTTATGCATGCATTGGTCGTAGTCAGTCATACACTCAAGCTTTACATGATAGGAATCTGCCATTCATTAAACAATCAGCTCCTATAAACTAACAAGAAGTTTAGAAATTATGCATTTATCTGAGAAATTAAAGGTATCTTGACGAGTGACTGTTAATTTCTTCACTACTTCCTTCATCCTTCTTTTTTTTTTCCTTCACGTTCCCAGTGGAACATAGGGCTTCAAGCTAGAGGCTTGAAGTTTCTGTAGCAGTGTATATTTTTTACAGAATGAGGTTGCTAGCCTCATGCCCAACCTTTCCTATTTACCGACTTTTATTACTGGTTTGGCGAGGTGAAGGAGTGCGTTGGTGGCTGGGGGTCGAACCCCGGACCATGTGAATGGTTGGCGAGTGTCCTAACCACTATGCCACCGACGCACCTCTTTCATCCTGATAGACTATAATTTACTTTTTTTTCATCGTCACTTAAGTGTATAATGTAGATGTATATCTAAATAAACAAAACAGACGCCTACATAAATTTACTGATGATAAAGTTAGGGGTATTGAGATATGAGAATTCTTTTTTGAATTGTTGCAGTAATCTAATATCATCATAACTGTTTCAATAACTCATGCTTAAACACCTTATCAGTGTGTCACAATCGATGTGTGCATTTTTTTAACGAATAGAAGAATGATATTTACAACCAATCAGAATTCAGTAAGTAATTTACTTCATGAGAGTTCACTTGAAGCTGGTGTTAACACATTCTAATGCATTCTTAATTACACTTTCTATTGAAAACTATCCAACGTTCCATTGAAACTCAACTATATGTGAGCCTCAAAGATTTCACCATATTGGAATTATTTAGTCCGTTTGTCATTTGCTCAATAATGCCTTCTACTTTTTAAATGATCGATACTTTAATACAGGAGCAAAAAAAGTAGTAACGAATGGTTTTCTTTAAATTGTCAAAAATGAAATTTATCAAAATAAAACCTGAAAAGCTGAGAACTGCTTTTTATCATATCTTATCTACATGTGTATTGTTATTTGCCTGCCTTACTTTAATAATTTTACAAACAATATTTGCCTACTGTGTACCTAAAAGCTCAGATATAGCCTGGCCATCAGTTTTAATTCCATTCGGTTATATTCCTGCAGCTTTACTAGTTCTAACAGCAGCGTCAACTTTATTTGCTGGATTAACAGATTCAGAAATATGCAGTACAATGAGTGTTGTTAGTTGTGTATTCCCCTTGATAATGACAACAGCTGTTGCCTGTACAACTTTACAACAGTATGTCGATAGATCTTTGTATAAAACAAGTATGCTGATTATGGGAATTGTTAATATAATAATTGCTGTTTTATGTCTTACACATAGTATTCTATTATGCATTGATATACGTGATTGTTTACCAAAGATAAATGTTGAAAAACCTGAAGAAAATGAAGTGAATAATAAAACGAAATTAAATGTGAATGATGCGCTTCATACAGAAATTACTACTCATGAAGGAGACGTAAGTCAATGTTACTAATCATTCTTATAGTTCAGTAAATCATTCAAGACAAAATTGAAAATGATCGACTACAGATCATTCATCGATTCAGTCTTTTATCAAGCATACTTTCTTACCAGTAAAAGAGGTAAATGAAGACAATATTTTTTCGTCTCTATTGTCTGAATTTCTTTTCTTTTATTAGCTTGTCTTTTTAGACATAAGTCAATGACTGTACTGCTCAACTAATTAAAACCAAACAGAATAAGAATTTCTCTGGTGTTCGTTTTTTCTCTGATTTATATCATCTTTTCTGAGTTGCCGCCGCCTCTCAAGATGCATTTAACAAGTTTTTAAAGTAAAACGAGATAAATAATGTGAAGAATAAATTCTCTAAGTTATTGTGTAAATATGTAGACTTGAAAAAAAATATATATATATATAAGTTTTACACAGCGTTATCTCAGTATTCAGTATTGACTTACCAGTACTTTTATGAATGTATCTTATATATTCAGACATTGTATTCCATTCATAATGTCTTCATTCATTAACTCATTATTTATGTAAAAATATATTAACAATATGACAGATATACCCCTTGGATTTTGCTTTTTTTAAAAGTTTTATTCCTTTGACTTCTTAGTGGAATATAGGGCTTCAAGCTTGAGCTTTTAAGTTTCATTAGTAGTGGTTTCCTTTTTTACGGAGTGGAATAGCTTGTGTCACGCCCAACCTTCCCTCTTCGCTACGCTTATACCGGTTAAGCGAGGTTTATGAGTGAATTGACCAGGGATCGATCCCTGGACCACATGCATGTGTTTTTGAATTCTGATTATACTTTTGGAGGCTATTTCATATAAATATATGTACATAATATTGGTTAGATGATGGTCGAAAACGTGGAAGTGTTTCCGTTTCCTAGTTTGCAGTATCTAAAACATCAAGCTGGTGAATTCAGTGTGAGATTGATATGTATCCATATATATACATATATATATATATGTGTGTATGTTGGTCTCTCTTTCTGTTTGCTCGCTTAGTCTGTGACCATTTCACTTGTATGAACCTGTCTCCTTTAACAATGTATATTCTCCTTATATTATATATAATATAATATGAGTGTTTGTTGACAGTCCGTTGCTTGGTGACATATATCCATATATGGTGGTTGTTGACATGTCTGCTATATTTCGCTATGTAAATATGGATCGATACTTCATTATAATTAGCCATTCATGTTAAGACTGTCTAATGATTGTTCACACCCTTGTCACATTCATATATATATTTCGTTCTCACAATCTTGTGACTTACTTACTTTGGTGTGATACCACTTATTGCATTCTCCTTGTGTTGGAAATAGAAGTATCATCGCAAACCTAGTGGTCTTCTGATTTCCGCCTTCTTGCGTCAGGACTATTAAATTCTCGACCAGACCATAACAATAATTTGTCGACGAGTACATAACAGAGATTTAACCTGGACAGATAAAGTTGTTTCCATTTAGACAATCAGTTGTTACATATTGATTTATTCAGTATGATCTATGATCACTCTCCACTTCCCTTCGCTAGGTTTTCTAAAGGCCCACAGAATACGTTGAACCCGTTTACTGTTGATAAAAACTTGGATTTCATTCAAAAAATACGAAAAGTTCCCGTGGGATGTGAACTAAGAACACATAAGCCAGCAAAAATAGTTCGCTTTATCCTAACGTCTAATGAAAGAAACTGTTAACTGCTAACTGACGAACCGCCTATGACCCTTGTGCGTGGGGCGGGGGGTTCAAACTTTACATATAAACCCTTAAATCACTGTATAGCTTGAGTGGCAGTTACTCAGAGAGACAATCAACATATTCTAAAGTTACAGGATTTCATCATGAGCTGACATTGTTTAGAGAACCATTGGAAAAGCTGGGAGTACTGGACAGCTGTTTCACCACAGTTTGGAACTCTTCATCAGTACGCACCCACCGGGGTTCGAACCCAGGACCTTCTGGTTGCAAGGCGAGCTCGTAGACCATTAAGCCACTGGGACCCGATCCAATGGTCCTTGAATTCTAACTTCTGCCAATTCACGATATAGCGCAACCGCTAGCCAATGTCTTCGGCGAGTATTTGTCCTCACACCCGACCTGCTGCACCCTACTGGTCACGACTTCCCACTGGAACCCCAGGTAACTACCCACCTAAATAGGGCCAGTCGCCAGTGAGCATCTCATTGCTATTCAAGTATTGGTTTGTAGGGATTTGGTTGGTTGGTTACAGCTGTCCAGTACTCCCAGGTTTTCCAATGGTTCTCTAACCAATGTCAGCTCATGATGAAATCATGTAACCAAACAATCAAATCCCTACAAACCAATACTTGAATATTCTAAAGTTACTGTTGTATGCTCTTTCATCTGTTCAACTATGTAGTTTAATGTAGGTTAATGTGACAACCAATCTGTGTTATACTGCTTTCCCATTTCTTATGGAATTCAATGTAAAATTTGAGTCTGGTCTTTAGATTTATATATTATGAAATTTACATTCATCACAAGTGGTGCTGAACTGCTTCTATTGTCCTTATTCATAAAATATTTTTTCTCATATGTTCTCTTTGTTTAACGCATCGTTATGAAATATATTATCTTCCCGTTGAAGAAGCATAAAACTTATAATCTTAAACTACTATGATACTCTTATTATTTTTATTGCTTGCGTTACGAGTGGAACATAGGGCCTCAGCTGTACGTCTGTATTCCATCTAGTTTTCTTCCATCTCTGGTTCCAACTGGTTCCATGACTATCCACAAGCCTCCACTGCCTGTTCAAATAATCTTCTCCTCGTCACTCCACCTAGTTTACTAACCAGTTTTTAAGTCCAGAAAATATGGAAGGTTCGAATTAGGTCTGACAACCCCACACCGTAAAGAAACAACTCCAGTGCTACTGAAGCTTCAATGAGTAGGGAAAACTTGTAAGCCAAGCACCAGATAAAATTTTATTCTTCTTTTTTTTTGATATATCCATTAGTGTGAAACTGGACCACCACTGTTAAACATTTTTGACTACTTTTAAATGCATTGTGATAAGTTCAAAAATACTTTTAAGTAGAGAAGTATGAGGTGACGAATCGCTGTCATAGTTATCCTCTGTAAGGCTGATTATCACATGAAGGTTTAGGAATTATTTTGATAAAAGTAATTATTCGTAGATCGAAGGAGAGGATACAAAACATTCGCCTATAATGGGATAGAACAATTTGGGGAAGTTATTACATTATAAGCTGAGAGAAATTTCGACACTAGAGATGTGACATAAAGCAGATTCGTTTATGAAGAATGAGACGAAGAAGTAGAGAAATTATTCAATTCAATCATAATATGAATTTCATCAGTGAGAAAATGTTCTCTTTTCTAATCTAAGGTTTTAAAGCTAATGAGTTTGTAAGAATCTTTGTCATTTTAAATAAACTGCTGTAGGTGAACTATCTGTATGACAACTCTTATTTCCTTATAAGACGAAGTACCATGGGTTTGCTGTTAGTGAAATCCAACAGATACTTTGGTATCATTAGATGAAAATTTCTTAAATGAATCTTCCATGTTGAATAAAAGTGCTTAATAAAATTTTCCTCCTTATGGGACGTTTAATATATTTATGCCTTGAAGTTTCTGTAGCAATTTGGTTAAGTTTTGGGGGTGGAGTTACTAGCACCACACCCCAACCCTCCCTCTTTATCCGGGCTTGGGACCGACTAGAAAAGTAGCGAGCTAGTAATCTAGGCCCAACAAATATGCAGGAGAAAGTGGAGGTCGATGGATTGGACACTCGCTGAGGAGGGCTCTGGGTGACATCGTGCGTCAGGTCATTGCTCGATTGGAACCCGAAATGGAAGTAGCGAGTGGGAGGTTAGTGCAAGGGTGACATGGAGGAGATGGTGTGAAGAGGAGCTGAAACAGTATGGACTAACATGGATTCAGGTGAAAAGTACAGCAGAAGGAAGACAGAAGTGGCAAGTGGAGACGTGCAGTTGAAGCCCTATGCTCCACTAGGAATCCAAGGGAACAATAATAATAAATAATAATGGGATATTTAGTCTGCCTGAAACAGACATATGTTTCAAACTAGTAATTTCAGAGGAATAGCATTTCTTCAAACATATATGGCTATATCTGACTATTTTCCTGTGCAGGAAAACTTATTCACTGAATATACTTCATTTGAATTAAAACGACTGTGGAATACATTCCAAAAGTTACCAACCGCTTAGATTCACTCCCTCCATGTACGATACCATTGGGTTCATTTCTTGATTCGTCTATTTAAAGAAACGTTTCAGTAAATCTATGTGAGACTGTGTACGTTGATTGTTCAATGGTAGGATAACTGAAGTCTTCTTAGAGAAATGTAGTATCATGTTTCTGTCAGTAGACATTTTCTTGTATGGTTGGAATAAACAACTGTCTGTTCGACACCTTGGTATTTAATACTATTTAGAATGTCAATAAAATTCTTGCTCACTGTCTACTTTCATATGTCTCACTGTGTATTCCTGGGATCACTCTTGTGACTCAAAAATGATAGTTTCTTGTCTTCAACAGGTAGATCAACAACATCCACTGAAAGAATAGTTTTAAGGATGTTCACGAAATAGCAATACTTTGTTAGTTGGTCACAAGGTGACTGTATTCCCAGTTTTACGGAGGAAAACAATATGTCCTTTTAAATGGAAAGTGTTTGACGTCTTTGATTACCGGAGGTTGTGAGCCTCAAGGTTCTGTAATTTTTTAATTCCTTTATCTTTCTTTTTGCATAACCTACCGTATTCTTCTATAGCTGATTTCAATAAATATGTTAATGATATAACAGTTTCTGTTCCAGGAGCTTCTGCATTGGGTTGTTCTTATATGAATAGATTCTTGTCCAAAGTTAACAGGTGGTCTCACCTAAGTAATCTTAAACTAAATCTATCCAAATGTCATATTGTTGATTTTAGCTTCACATGCGAACAAGACCCGGGTGGATTGATTCAGTCACATGATTCCTGTAATACTGATGCCATTATGATAGGAGGTAAATCGAGTATTTCTCATCTTGGCATCAGTTTCTCTTCAAATTTCCTCTGGTCGTCTCATATCTTGTTGATTTCTACAAAATGTTTTGTCTGACTTATTACATATGGATGTTGAGGCCTTTTGACATAACTCAATCTCTTCTTTTACAATTTGTTAATTCATGTATTCTGCCCATTCTCCT